CTGTGTTGCTTTCGCTCTCCCCCAGTTCGTGGCCTTTCTCTGACTTTTATAAAGCTAGAGAATGCCATGCGGTCGCCTCCAGATAATGAAGCGACCTTGCAGGACTGTTATTGCAGGAGTAATGGTAACGGTCGGCTGGCGGGGGTGTCTTTTTTGTCTCTTCCTGGTCAGGTGAGTCGAAGAAGATGAATAGTTTTCTTTGAAACGGCGCCATTTTTCAACTGAAATGGCTATTTTCAATTTTATGCCCTGAAGTTCTGGAATTTAGCAATTAGGCCCTTATACATGGAAAATCTCTTTTCTTTTTTAATCTTGCCCCTGGATAAATTGCAATTAAACTCCTATATGTTTCTCCATTAACAAAACAGTCCTTAATTTCTAATTTAATCAATTCAGTTCTTAATTGGCTCTTTAACTTAACTCTTTCAAATTAACCCTGAAAAAATCAATTAACTCTCCATGGTATCTTTTATTTACTGTGGTTTTTGGACATTAATTTCTTATAATTGTAACCTAAATTAGTTCTAAATTTTAATATTTTTTAATTAATCTCTTGATTGCATTAATTATAAATAAAAATTTAATTAAGGTCATAAACTTATCAATTCTTTTAATTTTTTACCAAATTAACTCTTAAATTTAGAATTTCATTCTTATTAGTTTTTAAACTTTTATTAGTTTTTAAACTTTTACTTTGTATTGTCTTATCTCAATTCTCAAATTATTTTTCATTCATTTATTTTTTATTATTTATTTGTTTTTTATTTAAAAAAATAAAAAATTAGATTGTAACAAAAAGTACATCCGTAACTTTACTATAAATAAAAAAAATACCTAAATAACCTTACCTAAAACTCATTATTTTATTTTTTATATTTTTAAAGGTATTTTGATTATTTTATTATTTATTTAAATGGTGAGTAGGTAAAAATTTACCCTAAACAAATCAATAATAAGCAATGTGTAATTTTTGTTGGGAACGACAAAATGATAAAATATGAGGGGCTATTTCAGTTTTAATATATTTTAGTATTATTATTCGTGTGTTGTTTTTAACAGTGTAGAGACATTAAAGAATAAAGTAAAATTAATAATATAAAATAGTTGTTATTATGACAGCAAGCATTACTATATTACTATTTTATTGATTGAATTACTTTTTAGAGTTTTGAAAATAAATTTTAGAAAAATAATGATAAGATTTTAATAAAAAAAAAAATTGTTTTATAACTTTCTAATGAGGCAACCAATCTTCTCAATATCGAAGACCACTTCTTTTTAATTTATTGGAGATAATCCTGACTCAATCTTCTTAACATCGGAGATCACTTCTTCAGCAGCAAAAGAGGCAACCAGCAACCACTAACATTCTTTGGAATTTTCGCACAGCCTGGTGTTCTAACCATAATTGCTCATCCCTTGAGCGCACCAGGGTTTGATTTATCTTAGGCAATTCTGCCTGATGACCTTTCAGCAATGAGAGGCTTGGAACGTTAGGCGAGGATTTACTGAATCGCACCATATTAGCCCTAAGTTTATAGGTGTCAAACCAGATCTGATTCAGCCTTGCAATGAGACTATTATGTGATTGATGGGATTTTCTTGTAACAAATCGAAACCATCTTCCCAATTATTTGTCTATGTTCTTAAAATTTCTTCTTCAATTCTCTGCAGGTTAGCCATGTTGGACATCATTCAAAATAGAATTTGAGAGCCATGAGTGGGTTATATGGTTGTTACTTGTTGGTATTGGACAGGATTTTGAGAGAGATATGTCTTAGTTCTTATGATTACTGAAGGTTAAGAAGGTCAGGTGATTTAGAGTACAAGGCTTTATTGGAGAAAGAAGAAGAAGAAGAAGAACTGGAATGTTATGTTATGGAAAAGTCTGATATTGTGAGGGGAGGGAGAGGGCAGAGGTCGGGGCAGGGACAGTTCTCACAGTTATATTATCAAACAGGTGGAGTGCAAAGAAATGTTAGCTTGTAGATTATGTCTCAAGGATGTGATTTTCTGTCACCACTCGAAGAAAAGCAGAGGCACAGAAGAATTCATTACATATCATTCTATTCAACTCCACGTCATCATTCATGTTCGTTTTTTGTTGAAAACGTGTTGGGTATGGTTAGAAAAAGTTAACGATGGAGCTATGTTAACACAGACAAATTATAATTTAGGTGATTTTCGCTTCAGTTAAATTAATTAAGATATTATTTAATTGATATATTATTTAATTTTTAAGTTGAAATTGAATAAAAATATTATTTAATTAATATTATTAGTTTATTAAGTATTAATTTATTAAGATTATATTTAGAAATATACTCAGTATTGCTTCATGATGAAAAGATAAAAATAGCCCGCTTAAAAGTATAATAAATATAACTTTGTAATATATTCTAAACTTGAAAATTTATTAAGATAATATTTTTTTAAAATTATTTTTAATATTATAATGTAAAAAAATAAAAATAATTTAATTTTAAAAAATAAAAAATTTAATAAAAAAATCTACAGCCTCGAGGGGTCGAAGTGATTTATCAAGTGGATGCAGCTACGACATGGGTAGCCCAATGTTTCCATGATTGGGCTGCATTCTGAGTTGCAACATCTTTATTGTATGATGAGGTCCAGGTCCATTGAGTTATCAAGCCTTTAATCTTTTTAGAATTTCGCATTATGATAAAGGGTTGCAGGCTTTTGATATCTTTTTTATTTATATTTGTTGTTTAATATAATTTTAGGAGTATGAAAAAGTTTCAAGAAAGTGTAAAACGTTAGCTTCTTGGAAGGGAGGAAGTATAAAAAAAAAAAAAATTGAGATGGGAAAGTTTTGGGGTTTTATGTATTTCCTTTTCTTATAATTTAAACCAATTTTTTTTCACTTAATAGACCATAAAGATATATTTCATGTTTTTATCATTACATTTTTAAATATTATTTTTATTTATATTATAATTTATAATTCATTATATGTTATCATGGAATTTAGAATATTTTCACATAGATAAATCAAATTAAATTTAAAATTCAATTGTACGAGACTCAAACTTATCTAGTTTCTTTACCATTTATATTCTGAACTTCCACTTTATAAATACATAGAAACAAAAAAAAAATAACATAAAATATGTCAATGAATCTTTTCATTAAAAAATTTAAATCATTGAATTATAATAATTTTTTGATATGATATTAAAATCTTATTAATCAAATAATTATAAGTTTGAATCTTACTAATCACATTTTATTTGGTAAAAAATAAATAAAAAATAATATAAATATATACAAGTTTTAAATTAAAATATTTTTCACTTAAGAAAATATGTTAAAAAATAATATAAATTATATTATAAAATATAAATATTTTGAGATAAAATTTTAAAATATAATTTATATTATTTTTTAACATATTCTCTTAAGTGAAAACTATTTTAATTTAAAACTTTTTTTTTATATGATATTAAAATCTTATTGACACTTGTTAAAAAAGCATTTTTTTTTTTATCTGACAAACTAACTGTAAATTGACACTTGAAAAACACCCCCCTAAAGGAAATATGGATTATGCAATTTTTCACTTTGTTGGTCTCGTATTTTCACACAATCAACGCAGTATGATGAATTACGAACATGATTCATTTGCCAAGAGAAAGCTTGGAAAATCAAATCAATTAGAGCATAGATTAGGTGAGTCGTATAGGTAAAATCAACATAATCCTTCTCAATATATATTTCCCTTAGGGCTAGTAGCAACACACACACACACACACACACATATATATATATATATATATCATGAACTATTTTTATTTTGATTAGCAGATAGCTTGGCAACCTTCGTTAGTCAAGCATACAGGTTTAAGCATTTCAATCTCTTTAATTAATCATCTAAAAATTATCGTTAAATGATTAATGATTTTTCTGCCTCGCCCGCCGGTCAAACATTGCATATATCAGTCAATATTGACAAGAGTTTCTTACCTAATGCTGTCCCTTCTATTGAATAATGATACATTATCTTCGACCTAATGGGTTCAAGGGAAGGTCTAATTGGCCTTCCCACCCACGAGACTTATAAATTGAATAGCACACTTTAATTTTCGTTACGATAAATCCTCACACCATGCATTTCGAAAGAGACTTGCTAACAACGCCATCATTTTTTTCCATGGAAAGTTCGGTTGATTTTGGGTTGCATGAAGGTGATATCACTTTCTTATTATATACTAATCCAGTAGAGTAGAATGTAATAGTTGAAAACTATTTTATTAAAAAAAAATATTAAATATACAATCATTAAACTATATTTATTTATATAATATAATTTTATATTAAAAAATAATATAAATCATATCTTATAACCTTATATAATAAATTTAAGTTTTTTTATTGGGATTATTATTTGGCATAATATGAGATCCTTGATAGCTTAAATAGCTTAAATAATATTTAGGTTAAGATAATTTTTTGATAAGGTATTAGAGTTTTAATTATTAAATAATTATGAATTTGAATTCTATTATTTTTATTTTTATTAATAAAATTAATTACAATGTCATGTAAGTTAAAAAAAAATTACTCGAAAAGATATATTAAAATAATATAAATTTTATATAACGGGTTGGCTTTTAATTTGAGTAATGATTTTTTGTATATTTTCGAGTCTAGCAAAAAATAAGGTGTGAGAAAATATGCATTGAAAATTTCATCACAATCGGAATAATTACGTCAAGAAATAAATAGGGGGAGTAGGTTTTTTTTGCTGTTGAAAAAATAGTGGGGGGGATTAGTTAACACTTAAACAATGACTAAATCAAATAATTTTTTTAGCACAACATTTATCACTTGTATAGTCATGGCCATGACATTTGCAGTTTTGACAATTCTAAGCTTCTCGTAAGTCTCAAACTTGGCCGCCGAGACCTGAACAACAAACAACATGGTAGTACCATTTCCCTCCTCCTGTGTATAAATATCCTTTTGAAATCAACCAATGAGCATAGAAAACACTTGTTACTAAAGATTTCACCGCAGGATTGGAGAAAAAACATGGTTTCATTAGGCATCTTCAGTCTAATTTCTACCTTGTTCCTTGTGTTGGCTGCAGTTCATACCACAGCTTCTTCTTCAAAACTGTCTCCAAATTATTACGACCATGTTTGTCCCAAAGCCTTACCAGCTATCAAACGAGTTGTGGAGGCGGCAATTAACAAAGAAAGACGCATGGGTGCTTCTTTATTACGTCTCCACTTCCATGATTGTTTTGTCCATGTATTGCACTAAACGGTGTTCTAATTTATTCTTAATTATCACATAATTATTTGGTCTTAATTACAAGTTTTATATATAGTAATGGGTTTGGCTTTTGCTGTATATGATACAGGGTTGTGATGCGTCAATTCTTTTGGACTCAACATCCGCTTTTGATAGTGAAAAGAAAGCTGGTCCTAACAAAAACTCAACTAGAGGATTTGAAGTTATTGACCAAATCAAGTTGGAGGTGGACAAAGTCTGTGGACGTCCAGTGGTCTCTTGTGCAGACATTGTAGCTGTTGCAGCTCGTGATTCCGTGGTTGTGGTGTGTAGTTTATTTATCATTTCTACTCTTGCATGTCCAATGTTGATAAATTGCATGTGTTTTTTTTTTTGTACAAGTAATCCTATCGTAACGTGCGTGTGTAAAAATATGTGCAGCTAGGAGGGCCGACATGGGCAGTGCAGCTAGGGAGGAGAGACTCGACCACAGCTCGCAAAACCACAGCGGACAAAGACATCCCAACACCGTTTATGAACCTTACTGACCTAATCAGCAACTTCAAAAAGCATGGTTTAGATGAGAGAGATCTTGTAGCTCTCTCTGGTGCCCACACTATAGGGTCTGCACAGTGTTTTGCCTTCAGAGACAGAATCTACAATGAAACTAACATTGACCCTAAATTTGCTCGAAAACGCAGATTAACCTGTCCACGCACTGGAGGTAACTCAAACCTTGCCGCTCTAGACCCAACACATGCAAACTTTGATGTTAAATACTTCAATAAATTATTGAAGAAAAGAGGGTTACTTCACTCTGATCAAGAACTCTTCAATGGAGGCTCCACTGATAGCTTGGTAGAGGCTTATAGCTCAGATGCCAAGGCTTTTTATGCTGACTTCGCAAAGTCTATGATGAAGATGGGGAATATAAACCCACTGACTGGAAAGCGAGGACAAGTTCGTTTGAATTGTAGGAAGGTGAACTAAAATGTTCCTACTTTGGATTTCAAAATAGAAAAGAACTTATTCGTCGTCTCGTGCTATACAGCGAGTTTGTATTTTTTTTTTTTGAAAAAA